GTTCAGGCAATTCTCCTGCCTCAGCCTCCTGAGTAGCTGGGATTACAGGCACGCACCACCATACCCAGCTCATTTTTTTTGTATTTTTAGTAGAGACGGGGTTTTACCACGTTGACCAGGATGGTCTCGTTCTCTTGACCTCGTGATCCACCCACCTCGGCCTCCCAAAGTGCTGGGATCATAGGTGTGAGCCACCATGCCCAACCTAAGTTTGTCCTTGTTTTAGCATTTTGACTACGATGTGTCTGTGATTTTTTTTTTTTAGAACTTTTTAGAATTTCTTGAATGTATGGCTTACAATCTTATATCAGTTTTGAAAATGTGTGTAGCCATTATCTTGTCAAATATTGCTTCTATCCCATCGCTCTCTCTGCAGTCTCAGGGACTCCAATATGTTCATCTTTTCACAAACTCCTATGTTTCTTACTCTCTTGTCCTTTTTTTATCAATCTTTTTGCTCTCCATATTTCTGTCTGATAATTTCTATTTGTTTGTCTTTTCACTAATCTCTTCACCTCTGACATATGTTGCTAAACACATCTATTGGAGATGTGTTATTTATTGTGATTTTTTGTTGTTGAATTTTTATTTAATTCTTTTTTAGAGATTCCAGTTCTCTGGTAAAATTCTCCGTCTTGTCATCTTTTTTGCTTGGACAAAAAAAGCACAGTCATTTTCAAAATGTATGTGTGATAACTCTAATATCTGGGCTACCTGTGTGCCTATTTTTATTGTGTTATTTTCTCTCTTTTTTAGTTGCAGTTTTTGGAATTTGTGATAATTTCTACTTGAACGCTGGGCCATGTAAAGAACTGTAGTCTCTGGATGATATCTTTTTCTAAAGAAGTGTAATCTTATCTTTTCTGGCAAGCAGCTAGACCGGGAGATTATATCCATCCAGTCTGGGACTTAGCTTATTGGATTGTATTGGATTGGAATTTTTGTAAAACATGGTTTGCCTTACATTTTTCTCCTCTTCTGGAGTGTAGCTTTTCAGAGGCCCAAATTATAGCCTTTGGTTATTTACTGGTATTCTTCCTTCTTGGTGAGTCCTAAACTCGTGACTGCCAGAAATTTTTATAGTTATTATATATAGCATTAAGCTCTATAAAATTAGCAAATATAAAATGATAAAAATATAACATTATAATATATAACAATATAATATATATATATATAAATATTATAAAAATATAAAATCAGCAAATATCTGTAAGGCAAAATCAAGTGCTGAGTGTAGGGGTTAGCTCTGTGCACCTCCCTTCTCTCAAGTATTCTGTCACTCAAGCCCTGGTTGTTCTGGCAGCTCTGAACTCCCATTAAGAACTTTCCTCATCATATTTAGTATTTAACATCAGGAATGTATGGGAGAAGTTCATATAAAGTACCAAAAACTGAATAAGCCTACCTTTTAGGCATCCTTGTTCTCTGTGTCACTAACAGGAGTGACTTCATGTAGGAATGTTTTTTAAGCTTGTCTATGAAGAATATGGTTTCCTCTTTGTAGGAGGCCTCTACATCTATGAAGCTGTGTGCTGTATCCTCTAAGAATGCCCCAGTCACTGTTAGAATGGAATACTTAAACAGTTTGGCAAATAGTTGTACAAGATGAAAGAATGAACTTTTTTTCACCTTTTTGCCAGACAAGATATAACCAGAATAGACATGATATTCACTAAAATTTAGTAAATATTTACTGTGGAGCAGACTCTGTGTTAGATGCTTCATACTGATTATCTCATTTAATCCTAAAAGGAGCCTATTGGGTAGTAAAGATAATTACTCCCATTTTACCTTTGATAAAACTGAGGCTTAAAGAGATAAAGTCAATTTAAACAGGCCCAACATCCAGGAAGTAAATGGCACAAGCAAGTTCAACTCAGATTTTTCTAATCCCAAGGTCCATGTTTTTTTCCAACATTTCATCTTGCTTCATGGCCTGCCCTTTTCAACCTAACTAGTATCATGATTTCAGACCCCTGGACTCCTGATACATCTTAAATAAAGTCAGAGATAAGTAGTCTGAGTGGTTTACATGCAAATACATCTCGTTCCTGGTACATTGCTTTCAGGTATTTCCAGATTCTTCCCTCTGCCACCCAGCCTTTGAAATATGTATCACATTAAATGCCTCCATTTATAACTACTATGGCAAGTCTGAATGTTATTTTTTTTTTTTCTCAAAAATACAGCTTTATGCAGAGACAGGAAGCAGTTCGTGGTAGGGCTTTATTTTGGGAGGATTAGAGTGGTAGGGGATGGGGCATTGGGAGAAATTACTTTCTGCAGTGTCAGATGAATGAGTTATTGGAAATGATAGCTCAGCCAGCAGCTTGATGCTTGCTAGTGAGTCAGCAGTGATTCCATCCTCAGCCCCAGTGCTGGGATCACAGCTGAGAGACAGTCGTCCTGGTGAGGGCTCCTCCCCATCCTGCTGTCTGAGACATGGAGGCTCTGCTTACCTGATGTGAGCCATTCACCTACCTGTCATGGAGAAGGAGTCACAGAACAATCTTTTTGTTTTAATGCAGATGTTTCTATACTTCTTTGGGATTAACTGGTATTTCTAATTCTTTTGCCTGATATCTAGCAGAAAGATTCAGTGACTTTGTATCTAGAGGATGATGTTTGGAACTGGTATGGTAGTAGAATCTAGTTCATAGGACAGCATTTTGTACTTTTATGCTACTTCAACTTTAGAAGGTCTTTATAAATGATAAAAACAGTATGGAAAAGCAAGACAGGAAAACACTGCTTCAGAAGAAGGGGTAAACAAGGAGAAATCATCTTATCAGGACAATGGAAGCCATGTAGATGTAGTACAAAAACTAGAACCAAATCATTGTGGTTGTTGGGGTATGACTGTAGGATTGCTGGTGATTGTTTTTTTGTTTTATGTTGTTACTTTATTTTTCCAGTACATAGACACAAGTTGTAAAATTTACCCTCAGAGTAGTCCTCTAGTGTTTAAAAATAACTAATTGTGAAAAATAACTGGACAAATAAACTTAATATTTTAGGGTATCTTTTCCCCAGGCCCTGTTAAGACCCTTATCTGCTCATACCCAGTATTCTCCAGTAGGAAATGGGTAGAGAGGTCTAACTTTTCTCGGAATTTCCTATGTGCTAGACACTTGGTTCCTTTTCACTCTAAGAAGGCGCTATTATCCATATTTCACAGATAAATAAACTAATGCTCAAAGAGATTGAAGGAACGTTTCCAGGACAGTAAGCTAGCATGTGGTATAATTTCATCCATGCCAGAGTCCTGCTGACTCTAAAGTCCATGCTTTTGAGTACAAATCGATGCCACCACCGTTTCTATTCCATCTGCTTTTTGTAAGGCAGTTTAAACATGTTAATTTAGTGCTGGATGGATCATCCACGAAGCAACATTTATTGCAATATATTATTCTCTTTTTGCAAAAACTGGGACTCTAAAGCTCACATATACTTGATTTGTACTTTAGTTGGAGAAATACTTAGAGCATTGGATAGCATGCATATCTGTGTGTTTGATGTGAGGTCCATAAAAAAGGCACAGTAAACACCCAGTTTAGTGTTTGGACTCCCCTGGAATTTGCAGTGATTCTTATGATCTCTTCTGAATTTCTTAGGTATATAAGATTGAAGATTATGCTAAATGTTTTGTTGTTCAGAACAGTAGCTGGAAGTGACAGTTTTGGTTGAGGGAGGGGGGTGGTATTGTTGCAAAGTGGAACACTTACAACTTTACCAAAATATCCATCTCATTGGCCCAACAGGGCCCTGATTTATCTTTTTAATAAGCTAATAACATTTAAAGATCTTTTAAATTTTTTACTGCTATTATAATGCAATTAATGCTGTGTTTTGATAGCTTTATTGAGGTATTGATATATAATAAACTGCACATATTTAATGTACAATTTGATTAAATTTAACACCTATGAAATAGCACTTCAATAAAAATGATGAATATATCCATTTCCCCAAAAAGTTTTCTGTAATGCTATATTTTTGGAGGAAAAAAGTCCAGTCATTTATGTTCTCCTTTCCATTTGGTAAAAAGATCCTGGATGGGGACTCAGATGATGTGGGTCTGGACTCCAACCTTGCCTTACCTAGCTTCACACAATTCAGTGAGTCCTTTAATTTTTTTGGCCCTTGGTTTTTCATCTGAAAACTGAGGGGGTTGGGCCAGATGGTCCCTAAGGACCCCTACAGCTCCAGAGTTCAATAAAGCTGAAAGGACCAGCACACTTAGGGTATTGGTTTGTGTTCAAATTGTTTTATGTAAAAATGTAGACTTCCCTGGTGGCCTGGTGTCAGCTGTGCCACTTCATCCCTGCCTTGCTTTGCTTGATTGGTTATCATGAAATCATTTTATTTAATTCCCTTTCGCCCTGATTCAGGGTCATTCCTGTCATTGTCTCCATGCTGGTAGGGGAACTGCTTGACTTAAGAATTTAGGGCTAAGGCTTGGGTAATGCTGGGAATTTGACAACACCATAAGCAAAGAGCTGAGGAGATATGATGACAGGATCAGCCCTCTGGCTATTTTTGAGGCATCTTGAGCATTTTATGGGGGGCAGAGACAAGTTGTATTGGATATATTTCAGGACTGAGGGAAGGGAAGCGGATTGGAATTTAATTAAAATTCTGATTCCAATTTTGCCCATCTTCTTGCCAAGTCAGCAGCTAGCATTTCTATTCATGGTTCTGGTGACTCTGCTGTGATGACATACAGTTACCTCCAAAATTCTTGTGAATTTGCTGAAAACTTCAATATGCTCAACCAGATGCTTTAATCAGGCCTGGCATGCTGCCATCTTTTGCCTGTGTTTTTGGCGATACCTGATCTACCACTGCCAGCATTCCTGGTGGGAGAGGGGCGTTGGAGGGAGCCAATGGTGAAAGCTAAGCTGATTACAAACAAGAAACCCATTTCATTGCAGCATAGAGATCTTTCCAAACTGCTTCTGTTTTCCAGGTAGCTCAGTGGCATTTCTGAGCAGGGCCACCCTGACTTCACCTTGGCCCACCATGAGGGTTTTCCTGCTTTGTGCCTACATACTGCTGCTGATGGTTTCCCAGTTGAGAGCAATCAGCTTTCCTGAAGATGATGAACCTCTTAATACTGTCGACTATCACTGTAAGTCATCTCAAGAATAGTCGTCCCTTCAGAGAAGGAAGCTTTTCTGTTTTTCATTTTCTAAGCATGTTCATTTTCAGAAAGAGGCAGAGATTTTTTTTATGTCTTAAACATGAATTTGCACCAGAGTTTATCAGTAATCATTTCCTAGTGTTTGGAGAAAATGGGGCAGTTTTCTTGGGTGCTTTTCTATAACAACCTGTATATAGGTTATATATTTTGAGTTAAAAGAAAGAAAGACCATTTGCTGGCATTCACTGCCTTTTATTCATTGATATTCAAGACCTTAAGAGAGGAATTTAGTTAAAACCCTTCTACAACAAGTATATACAGCTAATCAATGCTGTTTATTGATCCCTCCGCTCCATAATCCTGAATGATGGTTTAGCCCATTTTTACTTGCAGATTCAAGGCAATATCCGGTTTTTAGAGGACGCCCTTCAGGCAACGAATCGCAGCACAGGCTGGACTTTCAGCTGATGCTGAAAATTCGAGACACACTTTATATTGCTGGCAGGTAATTTTCCTCTCATTGGTTTATTAGATTAAAATTCTTTTCTCTTGTGGTGCTTGCATTAATGTGTCTAGTTCATGAAAAACTAATATGTGATTGTGATCAAAAATTGCATGAAGCCAGAAATATTCACCGGGAAGAGTCAGTGTTGTGTACCAGGAACAAAATACAGAGCTCAAGCCTTCAGCAGTGCTATTTTATTACTGCCATCAAGAAATCATACACCATTCTTTTTTCCTAAAGCAGCAGGGGGAAAAAACCTTTTTTTGTTCGTTTTTAACTTAGAATTATTCAAGCAAATGTTAGAAATATGTCTATGCTAATACCAAGTAGCAGTTTGACCCATGCCTGGAGAGAAGAGTTTTCTTTGCTCTGTGCCTACAGTGATATGTAAAAGCATCTCACTAATGAAAAAGTACTCTTTGTTGACTTTGTTTGAGACAGAGAAAATCCATATGATCTCTAAAACACAATAAAGGCAGATCTGTCAAAATAAAATAAGAAGCAGCTTAACATTTTTATGTATTCACGTGATATGTTTTATTGCCTTATTTCCAACAGGGATCAAGTTTATACAGTAAACTTAAATGAAATGCCCAAAACAGAAGTAATACCAAGCAAGGTGAGCAATGGTAGTTGGCAAATTTATTGGCATTCCCTCCGAACCTGATTAATTTTTCCACTCCCTCCCTCAAAATGTTCCCAATTAAAACCTGAACTTTGGTTTTGCTTGATTAATACAGAAACTGACATGGCGATCAAGACAACAGGATCGAGAAAACTGTGCTATGAAAGGCAAGCATAAAGTGAGTTAAACAGACAAATGTCTGCTAGATGGTCTTTCCGTGGGCTTGATACCACAGTGCCAGTATGCTTGAATGTCTGATATTAATGTTAACTACTACTCTCTCTAGGATGAATGCCACAACTTTATCAAAGTATTTGTTCCAAGAAACGATGAGATGGTTTTTGTTTGTGGTACCAATGCCTTCAATCCCATGTGTAGATACTATAGGGTAAGTATATTTTATGTGATGTGCTGCTTTTGATCAACTCTTCTCCCTTCACTGGCATGCTGTTAAAGTTGAAACCTTTCTGCTTTCCAGTAATTCATTTTATCTCTAGTGGTATGAAAGAAGACAGAATTCTTCAAATGGAATTTTAATACAAATAAAACAGTATTGCCTTGAAACAGGTACATTGAATAGCTATGACACTGGCTATTTATTTTTCTTTTGTAGTTGAGTACCTTAGAATATGATGGGGAAGAAATTAGTGGCCTGGCAAGATGCCCATTTGATGCCAAACAAACCAATGTTGCCCTCTTTGCTGGTAAGATCCTTTAGTGTAATGAATATCGATGATTAATGACACTGAAGGTGAAAAAGGAAATTAATGGATGAGTAAAAGCTAAAAACTTGGATAGCCACCCTGATCTATGTGTTTGAAAGGCTAAAATCTATGCACAAATTTCCAAAATAAAAAGAAAATAAATTAAGGGCAAGGATATTTCAGTGCACATTGTAAGTATTATGACACCCTGTTGTTAACTAGGCCAGTGACCCCAGATAAGTTGCTTAACTTTTTGATCCCTCATCTGTAAAATTAGATAATACTATGGCTGACCTGTCACGCATTGATGGTGAGCATCAGGTGTAGCCCTATTTGTATAGGCAATGGTAATACCAGTGAGAGTGCTCCTAAGGGCATAACACGCTACTGAAGCTAACACACTGCAGGATAATTATGGTTATCTTACCAAAATTATAACTTTGGTTTCAGATGGGAAGCTGTATTCTGCCACAGTGGCTGACTTCTTGGCCAGTGATGCCGTTATTTATCGAAGCATGGGTGATGGATCTGCCCTTCGCACAATAAAATATGATTCCAAATGGATAAAAGGTACCTTTGAAGAGCAGTGTCGTGGGGTCACCAGGATAGTGGATGGTCCAAGTGGGGACAGCAGCCACAGCCATCAAGAGGTTCAGTGCATGACTTTATATGGTTTATTTAGAACAAGTACATACCGCTTTGATTGTGAACAGGAGCATTGACAGGGAATGAGGAGACTAGTAGCCACATCAGGAGAGTAAGTTTGTCCAGATGTTTATCCCAGGTGACCTAAAAAAAAAAAAAAGAGAGATCTCGTCTCTGTATGTGCCAATTTGTCTAACTTTCTAAATCCACATAGTACTACTTGCCATCTACTCGTCTTGGAAAGTTAACTGAGAATCGATTACTCCGTATGAGAGCCATTTTGTTCTTCAGAGTGTAGAAATCAAGATTTTTTATTTTCAGTGTAAGAGGTTTTCTTCCCTAGTTAAATAGGTTAATGAATAAATCTGTTGAAACAAGGACCTTTGCTGTAGTTCAGTTCCCTGTAGGCCTTTTTACAGTCCATTAGCCGACTTTAGAGACGACGGGTTCCCTGAAGCTTGAACACACCCATATTGGGACTCCTCAAAATCATTGGCAGATAGGAGTTCTTGTTGGCTTGAATGTAACTGTGCAACATCTGTCAGTCATGCCTTGCAGTCAGGGTCTTATGCTAATTGGATTATCCTGTAGGAACCAATTGTTTTTCATTTTTCTTTCAGAACCACACTTTCTTCATGCCATAGAATATGGAAACTATGTCTATTTCTTCTTTCGAGAAATTGCTGTCGAACATAATAATTTAGGCAAGGCAAGTATAAGCTTTTGAATTGTGAACTTGTGCTGCATGAAGTTGAGACCGCTGTCTTAGAGTTAAGGATGCTCCCTTGACATGTTTTCCAGCTCTCCATTTAAGGCACACAGGGCCAAGTGCAGAGAGGTGGGTTGCTTATCATGAGAATAATTGCTGGAAAACATCTGAACAATAGCCTGAGTGAGAACAGCAGCCTTGATTTTTGAGAAGGTTTCTTTTCTTTCCTGCAGCCACAGAGTGTGTTCTACAGGTACCCTTGAGCTACGGATGCTTTTTTTTTACTCTTTAGAAATCCATTGATAGTCTATTCTTTCTCAGTGTCAAAAGGCAGGATAGAAAGTAGGGACCCCATTCAATTTTTAGTGTTTCAGTGAAAGCCCATGTGATTTTAAAGTATTGCAACCCCTTCTATGCCAAGTTGAAAGATGAAACACTTCATTAACAATACAGGAGGCAAAGTTGGAGACAAAGTACAGCAATGGTTTTCATTCAGCAAGGCAGATAGACAGCTCACTTCTTGAGGAGCACGTTTGGCAAAACAGGAAAATGGCTCTTTTTTTCTCTCAGGTGAATCTAGTTTACCCTCTTACTGTATGTCTAGACACCTAAAGAGAAGACTGCTAGATTCTAGTGAACCAGATATATCTTTCACATTTTTTCTTCCTCCCTTAAATAGTATCATTTTGTTTCCATTCCTTTCCATGCTCATAACCCCATGGCTTTGCTTCTGTCCTTTGGGCAGGCTGTATATTCCCGTGTGGCCCGCATATGCAAAAATGACATGGGTGGATCCCAGCGGGTCCTGGAGAAACACTGGACTTCATTTCTGAAGGCTCGGCTGAACTGTTCTGTCCCTGGAGATTCGTTTTTCTACTTTGATGTTCTGCAGTCTATTACAGACATAATACAAATCAGTGGCATCCCCACTGTGGTCGGGGTGTTTACCACACAGCTCAACAGGTAAGAACAGAACCCCGGCACTGCAAACATGTTCTGTACACGCCTGTCAGAACCAAGACAGGCTCCATGTCACCAGCCTGATAACTTTTTCCTTTTTCAGCATCCCTGGTTCTGCTGTCTGTGCATTTAGCATGGATGACATTGAAAAAGTATTCAAAGGACGGTTTAAGGAACAGAAAACTCCAGATTCTGTGTGGACAGCAGTTCCCGAAGACAAAGTCCCAAAGCCAAGGTAAACAAAAAAGTCGAAAAGCTTTTTGTCTTGAACAAAACCCTCCAGTCATTGGAAGCATCCCTCCCAGGGAGCAGCTGGACCAACCTCCCACACCAGGAAGGGGTCCCTCCCTCTGCACCATCTCAGACAGAGCCAGTAGACATAGTCTTGTGACCTTCAAGCTCATGAGTGTGAGTGTACAGCCCATTGAATTCAGGAACATAGCACTGCTCCTTTAATTTCACTCACTCTCCTTCCTCCCTTGACCTCTTCTCTTAGAATGAACACTTATTCCTTAGATATAGTACATGGTGTGGCAGGGGTGGCCGAGAACATAAAAGAATGCTGTTTTCCTTCCAGGCCTGGCTGTTGTGCAAAACACGGCGTTGCTGAAGCTTATAAAACCTCCATCGATTTCCCAGATGAAACCCTGTCATTCATCAAATCTCATCCCCTGATGGACTCTGCCGTTCCACCCATTGCCGATGAGCCCTGGTTCACAAAGACTCGGGTCAGGTGAGATGGTGTAGGAAACACTCCTTCCTCAAACGTTTTCTCTGCCCCTTGGCCTTCCCTTCTGATTTGTGCTGTCTCCTCTGGTAGGTACAGACTGACAGCCATCACGGTGGACCATTCTGCCGGGCCCTACCAGAACTACACAGTCATCTTTGTTGGCTCTGAAGCTGGCGTGGTACTTAAAGTTCTGGCAAAGACCAGTCCTTTCTCTTTGAATGACAGCATATTACTGGAAGAGATTGACGCCTATAACCATGCAAAGTAGGTGTATCTTACAAGAACCCGCTTCAGCACTGTTCAGAAATTTCCAGCATGTATTCATCTAGTCATTTCCTTTTGGCCCTCTCAATTAGCAGTGGCTTGGTATATTAGTGTTTTGTGTTTTTTTCCACATTTAAATAAAGCCTGGGTTTGTTTTCATCCCAAGCCCACTAGGGCAAGGAGAGTGAACAGCTGAGCAGTTTGAAAATAATTCAGCCCTTGTTTTTCACCTGTAGAATGTGAGAACATTTTAGCAGCACCTCTCTTACCTTGCAAATATATTTCAAGATGCTACATGCATCAGACAGTTGTAAGCTTGCAAACCACACACACACAAATATAAATGCACATACAAATGCAGAGTGTAATACTAGCATTTCCTTGCTATCACTAATATGTAAGAGAATATTTAGACCATGAAAAAAGAAAACAAGAAATACATTAGAGGAATGGAGCAAAGGGGACTAAGGAGAGATCTAGAATCATCTAACGCAGGAAAATCTAAATGCATTAAAACACTATCCTTTTTATTTCTATAGTCAAGTGTGGCCTTCGCAAATCCAATATATCATAACAGGAAAGCAATCTTTAAAAACCCTTTGTCCAGCCTGAAATTTAACCAACCATGCAGAGAAATAGAAGATGAATCACATAATTATTTCCCAAACTATGTACTTGCCTGGTTTGTAACCAAGAATATTCCTTAAAATTTCCCAGCTCTTAGTAATTGCTAAACCAAACCACACTTGACTGACTAAACATATGGCTTCAAAATGTTTCCCACAAAATAGGTGCAATGCTGAGAATGAGGAAGACAAAAAGGTCATCTCATTACAGTTGGATAAAGATCACCACACTATATATGTGGCATTCTCTAGCTGCGTTATCCGCATCCCCCTCAGTCGCTGTGAACGTTACGGATCGTGTAAAAAGTAAGCTCGTGTTTCTTTACTTACCCTGGGTCTTGCAGCATCGAAACCTTTGATGATGAGAAAATCCAAGCTACATTCTTCTTTGGCTTCATACAGGTCTTGTATCGCATCTCGTGACCCGTATTGTGGCTGGTTAAGCCAGGGATCCTGCGGTAGAGTGACCCCAGGGATGCTGTAAGTATACTTTGTCACATGAACTAGGATGAGCCATTCTCTCCAAATTTTCTAAAGCTAGACATTGTAGAAAACTTCCAATTATACTACTTTTGTTTTCATTGTTGTTGTGTGAGAAAAAGGAAAAAGAAAACCTGGAGATGTGAGGAGGAAAGGAATAATACTTAATACTTAAATGGATGGAGAGAAGAAACCAATTCTCTTCTGTTCTCTCAAACATTCTAGTTTACCAGTTTTTAACAGAAATAGTCATTGTAGCAAGTTATGTTGAAATGTATATATATATTTTTTCTCTCTGCCCATTCTTACTAATCAATCTGTGTTCTTGGTTCTGCTCTGGTTGTCACTTGTGTTCCTATGAAGGCTGTTAACCGAAGACTTCTTTGCTTTCCATAACCACAGTGCTGGAGGATATGAGCAAGACACAGAATTTGGCAACACAGCTCATCTAGGGGACTGCCATGGTAAGACAGAGTCTTCCATTCCCACCTGGACCTTCTTTTAGATCACATTTGCACGTGGACATTATTTTACAATCAGTCTTTTTAATGACTCAGGACACATACCACCTAGCATTTAACTTAAACTTCGCAAAAGCTGAGCTGTTTGGTCATGGGGTGACATTAGAAAAGAGGCTTACTTTTTTTTCCTTCACGATTTACAATTTTGTAGGAAATCTAGAGAGAGGTAGTCTAACCAGTAGGTTAATCTTTTTAATTTGTAGTCTTTTTTATTTTTGACTTTTTTAGTTAATTGAAATTCATAAATTTTTGCTTTCTTTTGGTTACTTTTCACTGATTACTTGTTCCTTTAATTCTTTTAGAAATTTTGCCTACTTCAACTACACCAGATTACAAAATATTTGGCGGTCCAACATCTGGTTAGTTTTTTTTAATTTTTTTGAATTAACAACCTTTTCTTTCCTTCGGTTCAGCATTTTCAGCCCCTTCTCCCCTCCTTTTGCGCAGTTTGGCAGCCCTTCATTTTTCTGCTTTGACTCATAATCCCTCTGATGGTACCAAAAGACTTTTCTTACTTAGCACTTCACCCTGTAGAGCATGTTAACACTTCATCATTGACCAAGGCACATCCTTAAAGAAAATTCAAATGGGCTAACATAGACTGCATTCCAGCTGCACGCACGCCCACCCAAGCTTTCTTCTCTCTCACATCTTTGCATTGTGAATGTTTCCTCTGGCCATCCGTATTTAATGGATGGCAGAATTTCATTATTTTCCCCATCTCTCCTCACCTTTCCTATGACCTAGTAAACAAATACACATTTCCCATAAATGTGTATTTATAAGTTAGAGATCTTTGAAATGTTTGTGCTAATCCTGGGAATCTTTGAATGCTTGGTCTTAGTGGTGTGAAAAAGACTTCAGTGGAGTTAAGCTGATTTTTGATGTATTAAGATGTTCAGTGGGCTCTCCAAGCCTCTCTGTACCTGTTTTGGAGCCTTCATCTGGAACTGTTGCACCGGTCAGAATTGCAGTCTCTGAGGTTTTAGCCTAAAAGCGTAAGCTTACATTTTGAGGGAAAATTTATTTGGAGGAAATCAGTAATAGACATGCTAAAAGGTTAAGGTACTCCTGGTCCTATTGCTGCTTCTAAAACTCACCAGCAATTCCTTTCCTCAGGGGGAGAAAAAGATGGCAGATCTTATATATCAGAATATCCTCATTCGGTTAGTAAATGCCAGTACCTTTGCATTAGCTGCCTCTAACTCTTTGGAAGGAACTCCCTATCAGTTTTTGAGAGTACAGGCAAAGTCTTTCCCTGCTTCGGTGTTTTACTGTCGACAGCAGAGCCTCAGTGTAGTAGATAATGGGAGGCTCCTGGTAATAACCTCTTAGGCAGAGCTGGTTTATCACATCCAAAATCAAGTCTTTTCACAGAGTTAACCAGATATTTTCCAACAAAGCCCCATCATAGCTTTTTCCCCAATGAAGACTACACATTTTCTAACAATCTGTGAAAGTGCTTTTTATTTTTTCCTGAGATGGAGTCTTGGTCTGTTGCCCAGGCTGGAGTGCAGTGGCACACAATCTCAGCTCACTGCAACCTCCACTTCCTGGGTTCAAGCAATTCTCCTGTCTCAGCCTCCTGAGAGCTAGGATTACAGATGTGTGCCATCACACCCAGCTAATTTTTGTATTTTTAGTAGAGACAGGGTTTCACCGTGTTGGCCAGGATGGTCTTGAACTCCTGACCTCATGGTCTGCCCACCTCAGCCTCCCAAAGTGCTGGGATTACAGTTATGAGCCACCATGCCCTGCCGAAAATGCTCTTTAAAATACACAAAGAGGCCGGGCACGGTGGCTCAAGCCTGTAATCCCAGCACTCTGGGAGGCCGAGATGGGTGAATCACGAGGTCAAGAGATCGAGACCATCCTGGTCAACATGATGAAACACCGTCTCTACTAAAAATACAAAAAATTAGCTGGGCATGGTGGTGCGTGCCTATAATCCCAGCTACTCGGGAGGCTGAGGCAGGAGAATTGCCTGAACCCAGGAGGCAGAGGTTGCGGTGAGCCGAGATGGCACCATTGCACTCCAGCCTGGGTAACGAGCGAAACTCCGTCTCAAAAAAAAAAAAAAGAAAATACACAAAAAGAAATGAAAAGATGTCTCACAAGAAAATGAGGAAACAGCAACTAATCTGCCCTGGGAATTGTATTATCTTTTTCATGAGTGTCATTAGTAACCACAGGGGCTTTCCTAAAAGCCTTTTGAGTATCTTTAATTTTGAAATCTGCTTACTATGTTGTTACTGTTCATTTTTAGTTTTCATTCCTCCCTTAAAAGAAAGGAATTTGATGTAGCTTTCTCAGCTGTGTTTTTACAAAATCCTAGAACATACTTTCTCATAAAATTTACTTAACCTTTCTTTAACAATGCAACAGACCAATCAAAAAAATCTTAACACTGTCCATGTTAATAAAAATCTGTTTGCCACCACAGACATGGAGGTATCTTCATCTTCTGTTACCACAGTGGCAAGTATTCCAGAAATCACACCTAAAGTGATTGATACCTGGAGACCTAAACTGACAAGCTCTCGGAAATTTGTAGTTCAAGATGATCCAAACACTTCTGATTTTACTGATCCTTTATCGGGTATCCCAAAGGGTAAGGCCTCAGCAGGGAACTCATCTCTAACTGCATGGAAACCTGATCCTTAATATCACTGAGGAGTATGTGGTTCTCCAGAGGTGAGCCTCACTGGAGCTTCTGGGGTTGTATCTCCACCGCCCCTGGCCACAGTCCGGCTTTCTGTGGTTATATCTGAGTGCATTCCTTAAAAGATAAAAGAGGTAGAAAGCTGTTGGAGAAAGGGCTGGTGAAACAGCCACTCCGACAATCTAATCTGTGTTGATTTCTGTCTGAAGAAGCAGAGAGCCTGCTGAATTTCAGGGAATTTCAGGGGTCACCGCAGCAACATCAAAAACAAAACTCATTAATTGCAAATATCCTGATAGCAGATGTTTTGTCTAGGAACCTTTCTCAGCCTCTTGTTTAGCTTCAGTTCAAAATGCAGTCTGAAAAGGATATATGAGATGCTAAGTTGCTTGATTGCCGCAAGCAATAAAACATAACAGAGTGCTTGTCCATAACTATCATTTTCAGCCCTTAATAGGAGCAGTTATAAAATAGCTGCCTGTTGAGTTAGCTTATTAGATATATTACTCTAGGAAAAAAATTCTATTCTTTAGTGCTTACTAAACTATGGTATCAGGTTTCCAATCAGTTTTTATGGCAGCGCATTGTCATTTATGATTTATATCAGTTGATTTTCGTTTTATATGTTTTTGTTGTAAACAATTTTATAATCATTCTTCTTTCTGCTTTGATTTCTTTAGTAGCGCCATTTTTTCTACTTTTCTTTCTTGCTCTTTCACAGTGCCACCGAATTCCATAACCCTGAACATTAACTAAAAACAACTAATGTTCAAAGGCCTTAGTACTAACTGAAAGCAACAGAATCTTCAAAATCATTCTGATTTACCTTACTCTGGGATAGCTGTGTTTATAGCATGTAACAGACTTGAATACCTCTTAAACTAACATTTTTTTATTAATTGTTAGATGTCTGTGGTTGCATTAAAAGGTTAATTTTAATAATTATAAACTAATTTGCTCTTCTTCTAGGTGTAATTTAAATATTTTCAAATACGTTCAGATAATTTGACAATTTACTTAACTAATATGCAGTATGTTTCCTTAGACTGTGGATTTCTGACATAGTCAGTCATTCAAGAGTGCTTCACCCCAAGATGGAATGAGAAAACAAATCCAAGCAAACATGAAAGTCTCTATTTATAGCTAACAGTGATCGAGCAGATATTTTTGGTTTGTGAACAAATTATGTGTTCTTATTTAAGTTAGTATAATTGTATTGGAATAACTATTTTAGCACAATATATATTTATGCTAATTATTACATTTTCCTATATCCTACCAGTTACCCTTAAATTCTGATTTATAAAGAGAAAATTATGACACAAAACATATAAGGAGTTTAAAGTTAGCTATTTAGAAAATATACACTTCTAACTGTTTTTAAGATAGAAACTCTTAAAATTCCTAATATATAACAACCATTTATGAGAGATTGGAGGAAAAGAACAGAAAAATACAGATCAGTGGGAGATTAGAATTATTCTGGCATTTGCAGCAATCCTATATGTCTCTGGGGATCCTAGTTTGATTAAAGACAAAATATACGAGCAATTTTGGAGTCTACTTGACCCTCCAAGCTAAGCATATGGACCACGTGAAGGCCGCGTTGGCTCACTGAAAGCCATTTGCTATTTATTATTATGTTTAAAAAGCACCTCATTCATACTGTCCCATGTGTCTATTGCAGGTGTACGATGGGAAGTCCAGTCTGGAGAGTCCAACCAGATGGTCCACATGAATGTCCTCATCACCTGTGTTTTTGCTGCTTTTGTTCTGGGGGCATTCATTGCAGGTGTGGCAGTATACTGCTATCGAGACATGTTTGTTCGGAAAAACAGAAAGATCCATAAAGATGCAGAATCCGCCCAGTCATGCACAGACTCCAGTGGAAGTTTTGCCAAACTCAATGGTCTCTTTGACAGCCCCGTCAAGGAATACCAACAGAATATTGATTCTCCTAAACTGTATAGTAACCTGCTGACCAGTCGGAAAGAACTACCACCCAATGGAGATACTAAATCCATGGTAATGGACCATCGAGGGCAACCTCCAGAACTGGCTGCTCTTCCCACTCCTGAGTCTACACCTGTACTTCACCAGAAGACCCTGCAGGCCATGAAAAGCCACTCAGAAAAGGCCCATGGCCATGGGGCTTCAAGGAAAGAAACCCCTCAGTTTTTTCCCTCTAGTCCGCCACCTCACTCCCCGTTAAGTCATGGGCACATCCCCAGTGCCATTGTTCTTCCAAATGCTACGCATGACTACAACACGTCTTTCTCAAACTCCAATGCTCACAAAGCCGAAAAGAAGCTTCAAAACATCGATCACCCTCTTACAAAGTCATCCAGTAAGAGAGATCACCGGCGTTCTGTCGATTCCAGAAATACACTCAATGATCTCCTGAAGCATCTGAATGACCCAAATAGTAACCCCAAAGCCATCATGGGAGACATCCAAATGGCCCACCAGAACTTAATGCTGGACCCCATGGGAGCCATGTCTGAGGTTCCACCTAAAGTTCCTAACCGGGAGGCATCGCTGTATTCCCCTCCTTCAACTCTCCCCAGAAATAGCCCCACCAAGCGAGTGGATGTCCCCACCACTCCTGGAGTCCCAATGACTTCTCTGGAAAGACAAAGGGGTTATCACAAAAATTCCTCCCAGAGGCACTCAATATCTGCTATGCCTAAAAACTTAAACTCACCAAATGGTGTTTCGTTATCCAGACAGCCTAGTATGAACCGTGGAGGATATATGCCCACCCCCACTGGGGCAAAGGGGGACTATATTCAGGGAACACCAGGGAGTGTTCATCTGCAGCCTTCCCTCTCCAGACAGAGCAGCTACACCAGTAATGGCACTCTTCCTAGGACGGGACTAAAGAGGACACCGTCCTTAAAACCTGATGTGCCACCAAAGCCTTCCTTTGTTCCTCAAACCCCATCTGTCAGACCACTGAACAAATACACTTACTAGGCCTCAAGTGTGCGATTCCCATGTGGCTTTATCTCGTCCATGTTGTTGAGAGGATGATGTTGTAAGGGTACCTTAAACCAGAGACTCGCTTGTATTTTAAGAGAAGCAAGTGGCCAAAGAAACTCCTTCTAACTTTGGCAACATCAGAACTTGCCACATGTAGCTATTGCAGCAAGGCTTCTGTGTACTTGCCTGAAAACAGAGGAAGGTGCTGGTCATTCCATTTCTTTTGTTTGAAGCTAAAGAGATGTGTAGCTCCCAGGGGCTACCTTGCCAGTATAAAGAGCTGATAACAGTACTCAGACGAATCTGTGAACAAATACTTGAAAATGGGTTCAATGTAGACTGCCATTATGTGTGGTCTTCCCATTAAATGTGAACGTTTTAACATGTATGCATTCACCTTGCCTCTTGCACAAATGTCAAAATAAGATGGTAATGTCTCAAAGAAATGAACTTGTAGATTACCAGGCAGTTTGCTAAAAATTCAATCTTTGACCCAAGCTGTAGCATTTCTTTTCATGTGTGGCATTTTTTTTCATGCCACCAACAAACTTGTGCGTGCACATGCACGTGTGTGTGTGTGTGTGTGTGTGTGTGCATTCTGTACCCACTAGGATTTGTTTAGGTTCCCATTGCATCTTTTTGTGCTATGGAGTTGTTTACATAGAGCATGACTGAACAAGAGACAATAACTACTTCCCACAGGAGTCCATTGGGTTCAGCTTTGAAAGAGAAATAGAATCAAGGCTCCTTTGACCTTCAAAATGATGAACCTTACTTATGTGGTACCCAATGCCAGAATGTAAGAGTTGCAAGTGATTTTGTGCTGCTATTTGTTAAAACTTCTATTCCAGTCTTGCCAGCTTAAGGAGATCAAGATATTAAGAGGTATCCTTGATTTATTTTCCAGTATTCAGTAGTAAAATTTACCTGTCCACTGTGAATCAAAGCCTGAGTCACTCTATTTAACCTTGGACACACTAAAAAGGTTTTATTTTGATTGTGTTTGTTTTTTTTTCCACATAGTAAAATTTCTCCTCCTTTAACTCTTCCTACCCCCCAAGGTAAAAAAAAAAAAAAACAGAAAACAAACAAAAAAAAAATAGAAGACAAAAGACATATGAAAGGAATTGTAATTGGCTTAACAGAAACAGTCTGTGAAAACCTAACAGTGGTACAATCATGTTGTCCATGTTGTGTTATGTGAGAATTTTCCCCCAAGTCATGCAGGTAATGACAATATACTGTAAATACCACATGTGAGTTTACCTGAATCTGTGCATTTTGTGCCTTATTCATGAGAATGATAGAAGTACTAAAATCTGTCAAGTGTTTTCAGTATAGCACATTATTTACTGAGTGCCAGTTGTAAATGTTTTTCAACCAGCACCTGAAAAGACTCTTTTCAAAAAATCACAGAAACAGTCTAGCAATTAATTGTTACATAATCCACCCTCAGAGCAGCATTACATTCTTTGCCATGATAAACATTCCACTCCTGCTTTCCTAAGGATGAAACAGTGATAATGTGAACTCAAATGAGGTTTCCTGGGTAATGTGACACCTGCGGAAACTATATAGCGTCATTTATACGTAGTTTGGCAGAAACCACTTATGGTTGATGATGTGCAACCCTGCTGACTGTTTCAGTAATATGCTGCACACCACACAATTGTTTAGTGAACCAAATCTAGAAAGTACCAAGGCAGAGAAATGCTCCTGATGTAGTCAGGCAAATGAGTTCGACTGATTTCTTGTGATAATACTGTTGGTACCTATTACTTGGAGGACAGGATGCAGAAGACCGGATCATTTTTATACAGAATGTGAAATACTGATGCAGTTATTCTTTTTTTTGTTTTAAAGAACATTGTCTTATAAAGAACATGATTTCCAGTGATCTCTGGAAGCGCTATAGCTAAAATTTCTGAAACACTTCAGCTTTGCAACTAAAATATTACAGATTAATAAATTAAACCAACCAATGATAAACACTACTCGGTCCACCAACAATATGTTTGAATTCACCTTACCAATATTAATCCCAGCGTGTGTAAAACGGAACAGTAACTCTGTGTGACCCCAGATAACATTTTGTAACATTGTGCTTCCTTGTAGTTTGTAATGTGAGTTCAATCAGTATTTATGTTGAAATTTATAACATTAAATCTAGTCTCTATCCTGTTAATTTAATTTTTAAATGCTTTATCCATTTGTGCAAAGGTAAACGCAGATTGTATCTTTTTTAATGGTACGGCATAAAAAGTAACCCTAAAGTGAAGTGGCTCTATACTGCTTTATAGAGTACTTTAACATGTATAGATATCTTGTAAACTTGTATTGTGGATGTGTAAATAATATGTACTTTGGGTTTTTAACACCGCATGTAAAGTCAAAATAAAATATATAAATCATTATATCCTGCCCCTTGATATTGAAGAGGTTTATAATGTATTATATTTTTAAAATATTTTTAAGTCAATCAACACCAGTAAGAGTTGCTTTTAAAATCTGCCAAAATATTCTTACCTGGAACAGTTGGTCTCCAGTCATGGTTATACTACCATTCTCTCCTTGGAAGGCTGATACTGGAGGTCAGAGCCCCTGAAAAAAATGAGAAATTGTTCAGAAAACTAGATGAACTGTACTGCATCAACGGTCAAATGCCTGAGGCAAACAGTAGTAGTTCACATTGTCCATAGATCTCTCTAGATCAACAGACATTTTTAAAATTCATGATTTGTTTTCCTGCATGAAGTTTTTCATGTAATTTTAGTTCAAAATTACAACTGGCAAGCAGGGTTCCTGTGAACATTTCTTGCTATTTGGTATATGGAGTTCCACAGTTCCCTTGTTTTAATTGAATAGAATAAATTAGGAGCTATCTTCCCTAAATATTGAAACGGAAGGTAACAACATGATTCCTTGGCTCTTCCTTAGTACATAATAAGTTGGTGTCTGCTGTCATTGCTTCTCATGGATGTTGACAGTGGCAAGCCACTTCTGAGAAAGACAACAGGGGTGGTTGTAGCAATCCTTGCCCTCTTGGTTCTGCTACTCCTGGCCAAAGCCTACCTGCAGCTCCCGTGTGGTCATGTTTTCTCAAGGACCCTCAGCAGCATCTTTGCCAAACAGCAGAACGACCATATTCCTGTCTTGAGTCTTATTCTCCTTGACGGTGTCATCTAATTAGGGGTGCCATATTTCAGCGTCAATTTAGTGGTATCAGAAGTCCTTGTTTATTCCTATCATGCAATGCAATACCCCAGAGACATGAGGAAAAATTTGCAGGAATCCTTTTGTGAGAGAAAGACCAGTGATGGCCTATTTGCCCCATTTCACAGCTCCCGACACCATAGGCAGTGCCACGAACCACAGAGCCTGACCTTGGCTTTCCAAACTACCCCATCATTGGAAGGAAGTCTGTGTAAATCTGCACACCGCTGTAGTGCTGGAGAAGAGGACGGAAGGTGTCTCCCATCTCACTGACTTGCAGAATTCAATTTGTAATTCAGATTTCGAACAAATGGTTGAAGGAAGACAAAAGGGAAATGCATCTTCAGCCTTGTCTTGTTCTGTCACCCAGGCTGGAGTGCAATGGTGCAATCTCAGCTCACTGCAATCTCTGCCTCCCAGGTTAAAGTGATTCTCCTGCCTCTGCCTCCTGAGTAGCTGGAATTATAGGAACCTGTCACCATGCCAGGCTAATTTTTGTATTTTTAGTAGAGACGGGGTTTCACCATGTTGGGCAGGTTGGTCTCGAACTCCTAACCTCAGGTGATCCACCCGCCTCAGCCTCCCAAAGTGCTGGGATTAGAGGCATGAGCCACCACCCCAGCCTCTTCCTAGGCTTCTTTAGCATTGCAGTATTATTCATTTACATTGCCTATTTCCATTAAATTGGTGTTTATTATACCTACTACCCGTTTACTAGTTTTTCTGAGTTCAGCAATTTTGTTTTCTTTTTTAAAAAATGCACCTTTCTTTTCTCCCTTATAGAAGTTCTAAGCCTTATTCTATCATAGTCAGTTTTGATAATTTAATGAATGCTACAGACTGAAAGGTGGATTTCCGTTTCCTCTCCAGGACATTTACAGTCCCCTAAAATCACATCTATGAATCCTCAAGATAAATGCTCAGATCCCATTTGAGAGAAGTAGGGTAAGAGAATTAGGAATTTTTTTCAAAGGGAGCACATAAAACCAGAGAGAAATGGCACATATACAAGAACTCACCAGGACAAGGTACTGTGCTCTGGTTCCAGAAATTCCATTGACTAAGCATTTGGGCTACCCTGGGAACGGGCAACTTTGAAGTCAGATGGAACACTTAAAGTGATGATACAGGCTAAGAAGAAAGGGCATCTCTTCTTCTTCTGCAAGGTAGTGGCATGATGGCCCAGGTGCTGGCCAGGCACCAGAAGGACTCACCTTCCTGCCATCAGAGAGAGATCAACTTCCTCCTCTTCTCCTAGCTGGTCTCCCTCATCTCCTTGTCAGAGGAGGGCAAAGAACAAAGGGTCCAAAGCAGCCCTAGCTCCAGGTCCCAGGAGCTGAGTTCCAATTGTGACTCCATCACTCATCTAGTGCTTAAGGGATACTCCACCTCTCCTGACTTTGGCAAAGAGATGATTTGACCTCCATTTCTCTGACAGTTCTATTGTCTCTGTCAACTCTGCAAGTCTATTATTTATTTTATGAATGCTACGCTGAAATATTACTAGTTTGATCTCTTGGTTGGTAGTATGTTCATGGATGCATGAAGCCTACTCCCTGTTAGATATAAGATATATGTGAGGTTAGCAATAAAGATACTATAGACAATGCACTTTAAGCAAATTACCTTGGATCTATTAATATATTCGATGTTTACACTTTTTGCATATATTACATGTAAAACACTTAAATCTCTGCCAATGTTGCATTCTTTATCAAATAGATGTGATATCATAAACAAAGAGGGATGGACCTATAATAAAATCAATCTCTAATTCTTGGGGGATTGGAGGGTGCAAGGATGGAGGGGGAGGTAATGTCTTGGTCATTCAGAAGGTGAATCAACTAGAATTCATATATAAAGGAAAATAGCATATTTTCACCCCTGTCTCATGATATAATTTTTTTTAATTAGGTATTGATTACTGGTTGATAAATTTCATTTTAACATGCACTTGAGTACACTTAGCCTCATACTCAGTGTTTGGGTAAAGGAAAGTATGAAAATGTAATATTATATATGTAGTGTCACAGTGTTCTTCATTAGAGTGAGATGGACCTACCCAATGCTACTGTAAAGACTGACTTCAGACTAGTTAGAGCAGTGGTAAGAGGGAACATTTGTCAGTGACAAGCAGCCCTGTGCAGTGGAATGTTCCATGCTGATGAAAGTTCTCATATGTGTTGTCCAACCTAGTAGCTTAGCATATGTGGTTACTGAGTACTTGAAATGTGACCAGTGGCTAGTACCTGTGAGGACTGCAAAGCCATCTACAAGGCCACCCCTGCTGCTGGCACCACCATAAGAGGTCAGGCTGTGGCTCTGAATACAGCAATTCCATGCGTTATTTAACTCTGATTAAAAAATAAGACATGCCTGGTACATTTTGGGTATCTACCCTGGGGCTTCACAAAGAGTTGGACTTGTAATTGATCGCCGATCAATCACAGATCTAGTTTGAGGTCTGTTTTCTGATTTAGAAACTATAATAAGCAAATTCATTGACCACTAAGAAAGCATCAGCTCTTGGCTTATGTGGACAGACTTCTCTTACATTTTCCTGGTGCTTTTGAGCCCTACTCAGTTAATCCCCAACATGCCATTTTTTTTTTCTTTTTGAAAGGGATAAGATTGCCATTCCCATTTTCAAGGTACAGAAGTTAAGATTTGTGTGAGTGTGACAACTATGGAAATATAAATGACAGTCAATTCACAAATCAGGGCTAATTCACATAGTCTCACACTCATGCCTGAAGCACAAGCTAACACCCTCCGTAAGAAGATTGAAAAGGGAGTATCAGTGTTCTATCAGTAAGGATGGCCTCTCTCCAGCACTTCATGTATAATGAGGAGAAACAAAAAAGGTAGAATAATTACAGTATCCAGGAATATGTGCCAAACCTCCAAGGAAAAATGGGACATTCAGTGACATCAGTCACATACTGAGTCATTATAATGAACATGCCAAGTCAATTATTTGAAAAAAGGATCCAAGGGCTGAGCTGACAAGGTGTAGGCTGAAAGCAACCAAAAGCATGCATTCCGAGATGTTACAAGGAACTAACCTGATGTGTCCAAATTGTACCTACCTAGGTTTCTGGGCATCTTGCCAGATCTACATCTGTGGACTGGTAGACAATCTCTGGAGAAAAATTTGTTTTTTTCTTACTTTGGAATTTCTTCATATTGAGTTGTTGTATATTGGAAGTTAAACACAGTTATGATTTTTCCACTTCCCCCTAAGGTTGGGAGAGCTATAGGAGTCGGACTATCTTAAAGAATCTTTTCTGATCATTTGAGCTGCCTAGCCTTCTGTGAGACATTAGAGTAAGCACACAAAAAACATCTGCTGAAGAAACAAATTTGGTGATTGCCCCAGCTTCATATCCTAAGTGAAGTGGCAAGGCCTTACCAGGTATTTGCAATTGTTAATGCCAATAAGCATAGTAAAAGCATACATACCTTCCTAGCATTTGCAAATCAGGTTTCCAAATAAGAGGATTATAACATCCTTTAACCATTCTCAAAGCAGCATTCCATGGGAGACAGCTTTGGAAAGTATAATAAAGAAATGGAACCCTTGTGGTGCTTTTGCAAATTTGAAAAACTTTGAGTTTCAGAGAGCATTTGGGATAGGAATTAGCCTCCAGAATTCAATGGCATATCAGGTTCAGAGACAGAGTTAGACAATTTGAAGTTTTGTTGGTCTGTATGTTACTGGAGTGACTCAAAAAATTGAGATCAATTTGTAAGATTCAATCTGACCTGATGATAGCCTCTTCTGGCTGCTCAATTAAGCCTTCCCCCTGAAAAATTCCATCAGATTTTCAGGACTTACTAAACTATAATTTCCAACTACCTATGGAACTGACACTTCAAAGAAATAGAAATGATTGGCTTCACGTTGTTTGCTTAATTTACATGAATATCATAAATGAGTGAGAAGAGCAAAACACTAAAACGGAGGAACACAACTGAGTTCAAATTATTTTAAATATATACACATATTTAGGAGTCTAGAAAGAAATACAATAACAAAAACTGCTTAGAATCCTTAAAACTGACGTATCATTTTGAAACATGCTTCATTCAAACATACGTTTTTGAAAATTCGCTGTACATTTTTATTCTAAGTCTGTTTTAAAAAGGAAAAAAATTTCTAGAAATAGCCCCTGACTTTGTTTAGCAATCTAGTCTCAAGAAAAGATGGAGTCTTTGTTTGCTACTGAAAACTAACTCCCAAAAGGTTTTAGTTCACTGCAAGGAAGGTATCAATGATCATGATTGACCTCAATGTTCTTTGGTTCCTAGAGTATCTAAATAAACGGTTTCTTTTTTTTGTTGGAGATACTGGGAATAAACTGATGAAAAGTGGAAATTATAAAAAACCAAAAGACAGAAGTCGGCACAGAACTAGGACCCAGGTGGAATAGCCAGGTAACAGCAGAGAGCATGGTGTGAGTACATGGCTAGTGTCCAGAGCAGGAACTCAGAATAGAGACACTGCTCTGTGTCTCAAAGGGCAACCATACAAAAAGCTGGAAAACTCCATTTTCTCCTTTGTCTTTTCTTCCCTAAATTCAAGAATAACAGAAAGCAAGCAGCAGATGAATAGAGAACAGGTAGCTTTGAGGACAATGAGATTTTTACAGTAATGACAACTTGGGAAAATACGAAATAATTAGTAGAGCAAAATCCTCTCCTCTGTGACAGCATGCCAGTTAAGGATGTCAGGAAAACCAAACCCTTTTGCAAAGTTCCCTGCAATTTTCCCCTCCCTCTACTTTTTAAAAAATAAATTTTCTCACCAGGTTCTCTTTGGGGAGAGATAACTCTGCTCCTCCCTTTTGTTGTAGCTATAGACTACCTTAAGGAAAGGGAAGACATTTTGGGGTAATCTCAACCAGACTAGCCAGCAAAAATTGAATTGGCATTCAATGATCTGGTTGCATGTCATATTATTTCATTCATGTTTCCATGGTTCCAACTTACATCAAAAATGTCAATACCAAGACCATTCAATAGGAAGATCTTGTTCCCTAAAAATGAGCATAGGGTACAAAAGACAAAAAACCACCACAGAGAAAATTACCCCCATTGTTGAAAAAAAATTAAGTTTTTTTCATGCCCATAAATGGACATATCAGAGGCATTCGAACCAGAGCAAGCTTATCTTGAATGAGGGCTAGGAAAATGAGGCTGGGATTTGCTGTGCTGCATTCCCAGAAAGTTAGGCATTCCTAGCCTTTAGACGTTTATGGTTAAGGGAACAGATTGATAATGTTTACTAAACAGACCCAGACTTGGGAGTGTCCTAATGCCCTGATATCTTGAGAACAAAAGCATTCCTAATTTCTCTTTAAAGATAACAATATCAATTCTTGCAAAATACAGTAATTAATAAAATTAATCCTTTATCACAAACCTTTGTAGCAGAGCACATATTCCCATAATCTTTTTTCATCCTGCACATATACATATGCAGGCATCTCACCTAGGGTGGACACATTGCTCCTCCTAGCTTTGGAAACGCCCTACTCTGTCTATGGAGTAGCTGTTCTTTCAAGACTGTACCCTTTTAATAAACTTGCTTTTGCTTTGTACTGTGGACTCGCCCGGAATTCTTTCTTGCACGAGATCCAAGAACTCTCTCTTGGGATCTGGATTGGGACCCTTTTCCTGTAACAGACGTGTGTCTCATGATTTTAGATTAGTTACCCACTGCCAGGGAACGAGGAGACAGCTCTGGAGTTAGAATGCTTTCCTCCACGGTACATATGAAATCTCCCCAACTGAATACTTTCTGAATCTCCAGTACCTAAAATGTGTACCCTGGGAACACGGAAAACACTTTGGTTACAACATTTTGAGACCCATGCTGCACTGGGCCTTATACACATTTGGTGAGAATCACTTCAGGCCCTAGGCTAACAAAGTGATTGCCCTGCGCCTGAATTAGTGGTGGCCAAGAGCTACAATATTTTGCAGTTTTTCCCTTTGAATGGTTTTATGTCTTTGCCAGTGATCTTATCTTGGCTTCTTTTCTTCTCATCTTTATTTAAACACCAGTATATTTAGGCGGTTTATAGAAGACACACAAGAAAGATTCAGGTTAACTATGTTTGACAGAAATCTATAAGATAATCCCTGTATAAACGTGTCTAACAACTATTTGGTTTTGTTCACATCTGATTGAAACATAACAGGAAAAGTCACAGTTCGTAAAAACAACACAACACAAATTCTTGGCAAAACAGTTAAATTTTAGAGCTTTGTGAAAAAACTCCCTTCAGCGTCGGAATAAACACTGAAAAGGAAGACAGGGAGTCTACAAAGAATGAATACCTCTCCAGCCCTACAATTCAGATCCTTCCACCATGCAAGTGGCAAAAGGCATGGGGAATGTGGCATATTTGGAAATGCAAAATATCACTCTGAGGTCTTCTATTTCCCTCAGGAAAGAATGTAGCTTCCAGACGCTTAGAAGGGACAGATTAATTACAGGCTTTCATTGAAAAAGCAGAAAGAGAACGAAGGATTTTAGAAACTTAATGGGAGTGTGGGAAGACCCTGAAAACTTCACTAAGAGCAAGCAACTAGTTGAAAGACAGAAGGGCACATAGAGAGCATTCTGCTTCATAACTACGTTATCCTGACATCCCAGACGACAAAGTATGAGGGAGGCTAGTAAGCTCTGTACTCACGCTTTGCTGGACTCTGATAAAAGTTGAAGGAGATAGAAAGGAAAGTTGGATAGGAGGGAAAGCTGGCAGGAGCCGGGCAGCAATGCGTAACATTTAAAGACTAGTAAGCTAGGTACCTAAGTGTTAGCTAGGTACCTAAATGTTAGATACTTAGGTACCTAACATATTTAAAAGGACTGTCATGATATACTGCATATTATTTTGGTAAATAAATGACACACTTCCATTCTATAAGTATATGTATATTCCTTGATTTACATAAGCATTGAGAAAATTATTAAAGGATAAACACCAAGTGTTAACGTATGTTAGTAGTAAAGCATGGGAAGTCAAACTGGTCATAACAATAATAGAATGTGAGAGGGATTGTGACCACAGAAATGAGCATGTATGAGGGATTTCCAGCTCTCTGGAATCCCCTCCCACATAGTGGGAACTCTCTGTCCCCTTCTGAATTTAACCCCTCTGGGGTCCCCTTCCACCCAGTGTGGAAGCTGCTTTCCTCTCCTAAACTCCATCTCTCTCTGCCTCTCTATTCCCTTCCACCCAGTGTGGAAGCTGCTTTCCTCTCCTGGATTCCACCTTTCTAGGTTCTCTCTCTCAGTGTGAGAGGAGCTTTCCTTCTCTGGTTTTCCCCCTCTGGGAACCCTTCTCACTCAGTGTGAGAGCTAGCTGCTTCTTCCTCTCTCCTTCTCCTTTTCCTCTTTCTCTGTCTAAATAAATCACTTTCTGCAACCAGAAAAAAAAAAAAAAAAGCATATATGATATCATCCCATTCCTGAGTAGATATCCATATCTATGTAGATACACAAATGCCATGTGTTTGTATCAGCATAAAGAGATGTCTGGAAGATCAGCAGGTTTGGCTGTCTACCTGCTAACCATCCACCCACCTACCCCTGCTTCTAACTTGCTGGGAGTGGTCACCTCCACCTACAGAGCCTGAAAATGCAAAATACTTCTTTTTCCAGTATCTCCTACAGTTAGAGCATGGAAATGTGACTCAATTCTGGCCAGTAGAATCTGAGCAAAAGTGTGGGAGGGCTTTGAGGAAGATTGTCTTCCCTAAGAAAAAGGGAATACATGAAGAAAACGCTCTTCTTTCTGGTAGTGGCAAGCAACAGCTGGTGCATGGATCAGCAGCTGCTATCTTGGTTCCATGAAAGCAAACTGGGGGAAAGGTTCACATACAGAAGGTGGCATAGTAAAGGGAGACCCTCAAGTCCTTGATGGCTACATAGAGCTGCTAAACTAATGAACTTTGAAGACTCTGAGGTTTGGATTTTCTGTTAGGAGACATGAATGTTCTCTCTCTCTCTTTATTTTTTTTTCAGACAGAGTCTCGCTCTTTTGCCCAAGCCAGAGTGAAGCGGTGTGATCTCAGCTCACTGCAACCTCCGCCTCCCAGGTTCAAGCAATTCTCTTCCTTAGCCTCCCAAGTAGCTGGGATTACAGGAGCTCGCCACCAAGGCCAGCTAACTTTTGTATTTTTAGTAGAGATGGGGTTTCTCCATGTTGGCCAGGCTGGTCTTGAACTCCTGACCTCAGGTGATCCACTTGCCTCAGCCTCCCAAAGTGCTAGGATTACAGGCGTGAGCCACCACAGCTGATGAATGTTCTTTTTGTCCCGTTGTTGGTCAGGTATTGCTTCTTCCAGGCAAAAGCACCATAACAGAGTAACCAACATGTTCTAGGTGGTTATCTCACAGTGGATGGATTAGGAGGGAAGATGGGGTGAAAATCTCCCCCCTCTCCTATCTATTTATCTGCCTTATATAATGCATGTGTATTGATGCTCCAACAGGTTAGAACTGCCTGGTGAGTTTTTTAAAACCACCAAGGCCTGGGCTACATCCCAGAATAATTGGTCAATTAAATTAGCATCTCTAGAGTGGGCTGAGGCATTGGTGTTTTAAAAGGGGTCTCGAAAAGATTTCGATATACAGACTTGAAATCTCCTGCTCCATGTTATGTCCTTTCTATGTACTGTAAAAATGTACATGTGTGTATATGCCATCTATTGGTATGAAATAAACTCTTGTATGAGTTTCATATTGCTGCATAACACATTATCACAAACTTGGAAGTTTATAACACTAATTTATTAGTTCACAGTTCTATAAGTCAGAAATGTGGGCCAGCTGGACTGAGTTACCCACTCAGGGTTGCATGAATCAAGGTGTTAACTGAACTGTCCTCTTAGCTGGAGGCTCTGAAGAAGAATCTGCTCACAACTCTCAGACTGTTGGTAGAACTCAGTTTCTTATGGTTGTAGGACTGAGGTCTCAGTTTCCTTGCTGGCAGTCAGCAGGGGCTGCTCTTATCATCTAGGGGCTGTTTTACTTCTTGTCATGTGGACCCCTATATCTTTAACACAGCAAGGCCATATCAAATCCTTTTTTTTTTTTTTTGAGAAGGAGTCTTGCTCTGTCAACCAGCTGGAGTGCAGTGGTGCAATCTCTGCTCACTGCAACCTCTGCCCCCGAGTTCAAGCCATTCTCATGCTTCAGCCTCCAAGTAGCTAGGATTACAGGCACATGCTATCACACTCAGCTAATTTTTTGTATTTTTATTAGAGACTGGGTTTCACTATGTTGGCCAGGCTGGTCTCGAACTCCTGACTTCAAATGATCCTCCCATCTCAGCTTCCCAAAGTGCTAGAATAGCAGGCATAAGCCACCATGTCCAGCCTCAAACCCTTTTTATTCTTCTTATCCCTATGAGTCTTCATTCTGCTACCAGCGAGAGAAAACTTGCTGCTCTTAAGTGCTCACTTCAGCATTTTATAAGATTGTATAAGGCCCATATTGGAAGGTTAACGGACTTGGGGCTTTAATTATATTTGTAAAATCCCTTCACAGCAGTACCTAGATAAGTATACTGATCTAATTGATGGAATAACCAAGCAATGAGAATCTTAGAAGGGCCGTCTTTAGGACTGTGTCTACCATAATAGCCTCAAATTTGATGGCTGACAACAATAGCCATTTATTTTCTTACAGTTCTGTAAGTTGACAATTTGGCAGGGCTTGGTTGGAAGAGCTCACCTCTGCTCCACAGC